AAGAAATGAGCTCTCTAGCGCCCCCATTTTGTTTGATGGGGTCAATAATGGAGGGGTCCCCTCAGATTATGTGTGGTCATATGCCTACAAAGTTGCGTGGTGATGGGTGAAACCCTTGAGATGTTATACACCTTTATGTGATGAGCCACGCCCTCCGCAATATTCATTGCCTTATAGAAGCTCAGTTTTAGTAAGTTTTCCAACTTTTGCCAAGAGGGAACTTTAGATATTGGTCCCTAGATTATGTTTACCCAGTTTCATGCAGATCGCTCAAACTTCCTAGAAAGAGATCCATTTGAAGTGAAGTGTGAAAATTCAAAATGGCGGAAAATCTATATAAGCGGAAGTTATGGGTTCTTGAGGCAAATGTGTTCCTCATGAGGAGAGGCATCTCTGTGCAGAGTTTCATGTCTCTACGACATACTGGGCATGAGATATGCCCATTCAAAGTTTGCAATTTCAATCTGTTGCTATAGCGCCCCCCTTTGGCCAATTGATGTAATATTGCTTCATTCTTATCCTCCCATGACCCTCTACCACTGTGCCAAATTTCACATGGATTGACCAAGTCAGTGAGGAGAAAAACGTGGAACAGACACACAGACAGAGTTTTCGTCATTATATAGTAAGGTTAATTTCGACCGAGTTATGTGAACTGCATATATTCTAATCCTCACTTGAAGAAATAAAAAAGGGTTGCGGAGTGTCGTTCCTGTGGGCTACAGCAACACTAAACCCCTGAGCTTGCCTGAGAAGGACTAAATGCCCAAACCAGCTATTTTTAAATATCCCATGGAGAGAGACTCTCACTGCAGCCTGTTCTATTTTGTTCTGAAAATGTCGGCATGTAGCCTCGTTCTGTGGACGATAAACCAGGTGCAGACTGATAAAGGAGGAAATAAAGTGGCACATTTAAGAGGACTGTTTGCATTGGAAATGTCTTCCTGTCTGAAAGGTTACTTTTGGTTACGAAGGTACAATACCAAAAGTGTTTGGTGGAAACGGGCTTAAGATTCTGAAAAGTTGGTTCTTCTTTATTTGATAATATTCACGTCCTGTTACTGCATGTCTCTAACTCAGCTTCTTCTCTGGAGCTTTTTCTCTGTCTCATGGGTTCCCTCAAATCGTGGCTACGCCTGGATTGTGGGTCCTGGTTATGCTGCTGCGGTGGTCCTGCCTGATGCCTCCTACTACTGCTGTTGTTATTATAAGTCATACTTCTACTGTTATTATACACATATGATTACTATTGTCACATCACATACTATCATATATTAATATATACTTATATATACTACCAAAATACTGTTACTGTACCATTATTATATTATTTCTAAAATTAATGCTGTTGTAGCTATTGTCTTTAGCGTCTGCCCTGCATCTCTCTCTGTCTGAAAATTCCAGAAGTTTCCTTCTTACCCTCTCCTGTTGATTATATACGACAGCCAACTCTGAACCCTTCCCTCTGCAGTTTTCTTGAGCTTCTTCCCAGGTTTTCCATTCACGATCATTAATGGCATAGCAGCTTGGCTGTCTGTGTATCCAGCCAACCGGACAAGCTGCACACTGTCTCTCTGAAACAACAGAGACTAACCAATGAACAACATTACTGCATTGTAATATTATTACTGATGATTATCTTTGGACCTAAATAACTGGTTCTGAACTTACCGTTATTTCTTATGGGGCAGTAAGCATCAATGCTCCACTGAGCTCGAGTCACATTGAGCTCGTTCCAGTTGTTTTGTAAGACAGAAATGGCTTGTGTCAGATTGTTATAGTTCCTCCTCAAGTCGTCATTGTCTGAGCTGAGTTTGTTGTTCAGGCTCGTCAGGTTGTGAATGGCAGCCAGTAGAGTCAAACTGCCTGCTGACAGATTCAGATACTGCATCATTGACTTCAGTTCCTTGTTTTGTGTTGTCAGGTTCAGGAGTTCTTCCATCAGGTTTGTGATCTTGTTTTCTAAGACAGTATAGTTTTGTGTCATCAGTGTCTTCAGCTCCTGGTTTTCAGCAGTCAGCTGTGTGTTGTTTTCAGAAATGACAGCAGTAACTACAGAGACAGACAGAGGAAGGAGTTGGGCTGTGAGACTTGTGTCTCTGAAAAGTGTTTTACATGATCATAAAGACATTAAAGGATGGATTCACATTACAAATCTATCTTAAAACAACAGTCATGTGCCCATATGAACACTGAAACTGGGTTTTTGCCCTGATCATTCCTTCTGTTTATACTGGTGAATAAGAGCCCTGTCTAATGCACTCTTAATGTAAGAGGTAGGAGACAAAGTCCACAGTCCTCATTCAGCCCATCCGCCAAAAGAAAATGTTGACATTACATTTCTGCAAACCATAAATACATTACATTTGCACATTTCATACATATCATATCAACACTTCTACAGTGACATAGTATATACTGGGAGGTGGAGGTGATGGTGGATGGCGTGTCACCTAGGCACTTCCAAGCTGCAGACTACTGTTCAACACCAACAAACAATAAAACCAGTTGCTGTGTTTCCAGCATCTTTTTAGGCTCCAAACATGTTTTGTAGCAACTCACTGGCAGGGATATTTACTGCCATGAAAAGGACTTGAGTATTTTCCTGAGACACTGCTGCACTGGGATTATTTCTCCAAGTATTTTAAGTCCAACAGGACAGGAGGGAGAGAAGGTGAAGACATGCAGCAAAGGTTTTCAGGTCGCAATCAAACCCAGGCCACTGCATTAAGCTCATATGGGGCGCACACTCTATGATCCAGAGGTCATCCCAAATGTGGTCTTTTGTGCCAAAACCTAACCACACATTAACCACAGAGTTGTTGAAAAGTAAAGTTTTGATGTATCAACTACATAATAATGTGCAAATGTAATGTATCTGCAGAAACATACAATGCCAACATGTTTGTTCAACAAGTCGAGGTGCAGGACAAGACCTGTGTTTATGTTTGTAAGTTAGCTAGATGTCAAGGAGACTTTAGCAGGAGAGCTAACGTGGATTGTTATTCAGTGTTTATGGCTCTTGTTTCTCAGACTCTGATTTATAGAAACTGCTGAGATTTCAACTTTACGCCAGCTTCTGACCAGGCATAAGATTAGGCCTGGTCTTAGTGAGAAGAAGGCTTAAGTCTAGATGGTGCAAGAAGTGTAACGCCTCATGTATGAGTAGGGAGCCAGGACAATGGGAAGTCCATACATTCCTATGCAAATCTCTGTGATATCTGATGTCCCCTATAATATTTCCGTCCAGAACTTGCCTCAAGAACCTTCAAAAAATTCAACATTTTGCAGAGGATTTTGGAGAGACCGTCTGACAGTGAGCTAGCTAAGCTAACAGGCTATTTCCTTCAATTCAGTTGCCTTTGTTGATTGTTAAGTGAGTTTGTACGATTAAAAGGAACTTGTTTATCTAGTTTTAACACATTGTGAATCTGAGTACTGTTATTCTGCCAAAATATGGTTATGCATTATATACAGTCAGATTGTCATTATGACTCTTTCAGCCGTTCTTGCATCCTTTTTATAAATTATTTTATGTAGTTGGCAGGCCAACATCTTCATTTATTTGTTGCCATGTGAAATTGGTCCTGTTTTTTCCTGACAAACCTGCCCTTAAAATAAGAACCAACAACAACAATCTTTGAGTTGAAGTGACATTCACATAGAAGGTACTCACAGTAGATACGAAGGCCCATGATGACCAACAGTATGAGCCAACACACTGCTATCGGTGGAAAAGACTGAGTGAAGAAGAGACACCTCTGGTCTGAGAGAAAAACAACTATTCAGCTGAATCAATGATGCTGATTTAACACAGTCAAAGGTGCTTTGAATACATTTAAATAAAAAACAAAAGCAGCTGAGCTTTTACGTTTTCATCACACTCACATTTTTAAAACATCATCTTATAAATTAATCTCATGCTTAAAAATATTAATCTATAAGATATATTTTGTCATAATGTACCTGGAGGTGCTGCCACTTTATCCACACTGCACGCTGGTGCATTAATATAGTCGGTCTCTTCGCTGATTTCCTCTGAAACATAAAAAAATACAAATGAAACATCCAGATACATAAAAATATACAGATGATAATGTCTTACATGCAGACACATAAACATTAGGATATCTTTAAGTACCAGTTTCCTCTGGCGCTCTTCTGCTCATCTTGAACAAATGTTTAAAATCCTGATGCAGTTGTGTATGAAGGCTGTTAGGAGGGCGTCTGCTCACTCTGATGCTTTTTAGTGGACGTCCGCTTTGAGGTTGTGATTGTGTCGTTTTCTTTAGTTCAGCAGCCAATAATATCTTGTTGTTGTGAAGGGGAAGTCTAGCGGTGAGAAGAACTGTCTGGACAGAGTCTCTTAGAAGTCGACCACAGGAGGACCAAATTTGGAAATATGCAGATTCCAGTGGCCTAACATACGTTCATGTTAACACGGATATGTTGCATTAATATAATCTGTTCATTTAAAGTTATTCACTCCAGTTTTTATCCAGTTTGCCTCCACCCAGCTTGAACCCTTTTACATGAGGTGGAGCCAGAGGCAACTGTGAAGGTCTTATTGATCTGTCTCATGAGCTGAGTGTGGGGTCCCTTTCTCCCCTGCATGAGCATGTAGTCTAAAATAAATTATGAAGATGCTAAATGATATAATAAAGAAATATATGAACTGTGCACATGAAATAATCTAATGGACAAAGAGCCAATAAACACGGGATGACTGATCTTTCTGATGTGTGATGTAGTGTTGGAGTGCATGGAGTCATCAACTTGTCATTGCTCATATTGTTGACTTCCTGTCTGTCAGTCTCCAACACTACTTATCACTACGTATCACTAATGTGAGCCGTGATTAAATATGCAGCACTGAAGTCTCTC